TTACCAGCAAGAAGGCCCGATTTAGCATTGTATAGGGTTATTAACGGGCGCGTGTTGCTTTGATTGAGAGATGACACTAATTTTTTTTTTAATTTTGGAGAAATCTGTTCTTCATTAAAGATATTTGTTGACGAGAGTCTAACATGTCTGTTTGAATCGAGGTCTGATTGAGAAAGGAGCTCAAACCCAGCATTTCTATGAAGAGATTATTACCCTTCGCAGTGAAATCGGTATGTTATGAAGTCGTTTTCTGGCTCAAAACTTAACCAACTGTTTCCGAACTGATACATAGGTTGACTGATTCTCTATTAAAATGATCTCTAAGGTGTTTTACAGTAAAACAATTCCACACGAATTTTCCAAAACCTGCATCTGTTAAATGGTAAGCTGCAATTACTCGAAAATACTAATTTCCAGCTTCATCTCATAAACTTACAAATTATCTCTCGCTTACAAACCACCTGCCAAAGTCCCTGCTTACTCCGTCCGCGTTTTTGATATATCGACCCGTGATAAATCCTCCATCAACTTTTAATTAACGCCTGTGTGTTTTAATTACTACAATAATTTAACAGTCTCATCTCGCAAACTTTACCACCTCGCTAATGTTTGCTCGGATTTAACACACTAGTAGCTGTTGAACTTGAGCCGGCTCGGGTGATTCGTGCTAACCACTTGTGTTAATCCATGACAGCTAAAGCACATATCTACACACTCCTGCTAAAAATAGACCGGATTCTGGACTCTGGACTCCGGGTCGTGTCTGCGTAATGAAAATTTCAGGACAACTGTTGCACGGGAATTGTCTGGATTTCCTTTGTTTCACCTTTATCCTCTGTACAATATATTCGCTGAATTTACAACAGTGTCAAGTGTCGCTTTAACAGGCACTACAAAGCACGAAACCCAAAAATAAACGTTATTTTTTAATAAAATCGTGAATCTTAACACTTCCTTTTAATTAATTTCCCCGTCTACGATCAAAGAAAAAGAGAATAAATTAATTTTGCCGTTCAAAATGGTTCGTGATTGTGTTTTGTTACAGGAAAAAACGACGCCCTCGCAATGAAAATGTAAATTAAAACAAATTTACTCGAAATGAAAAACAAACAACTAAATTGTAACGGCGTAGTCGCGATAGTTCCATTATCGAAAATTGCTTCGTTTATTGCAATCTCGGAAGCAATTAACACGTTAATATTGGTAACAAGATGAGCACAAAACGTGAGGAAAAATTTTATTGCAACTTATAGCGAGATTCGGAACGCCGTCATTCATTTATCTCTCGAGGAAAATTGTGTTTCTTATTCATAACATCGACTTCGGAGTATTAGGTTCTAGGGAAATCTATGCGATTGAAGCGAGGCAGACGGGCATTTCAAGCTCGAAGTACAATTTTCTTTATAAAATATTTTCCGGTGTTTGAAGGTTATAGTTTCGAATATCGTGTCGAGAATCGCCAGAAATGAAAAAGTGAACAGAAATTGGTAAGAATTTTTCAATAAGCGAAATTACTTAAAAAAAATGTTCGAAGGTTGTCATTTCTAAATTGTTCAATTTTTCATATTTTTTGTTTCAATTTTTCAACTTCTGAATTTTCCTATTTTTAGACTGCTATTTTACTCGAGTTTTCAATATTTCAATTTTTCGTTTCGAAATCTCGGAGACTACATGTGTAATTTTTTTTTCTAGAAACCGAAAGAATCTCAGGGTCCTTTGTGATTTTTTTTTGAAGAAGAAGATGAAAGAATCTCGGGGGATAAAAGTGATATTTTTTTTCTAAAAGGTGAAAGAATCTCGGGCTCCCCTAATGTTTAGTTTTTTTTGACAAGCTTAGTGGGTCCAAGCATATTTTTTTTTCTAAAATGGGAACGAACCTTGAAGTCCTTTAAGATTTTTTTTGAAGAAGAAGAAGATGAAAGAATCTCGGGGCTACAAGTGTTATTTTTTTCTAGAAGACATTAAAAATTTCGTATTCCCTACGGTTTTTTTTACGAAGTTGAAATAATCTCAGGGGCTACAAGTGTTATTTTTTCTAAAAGGCGAACCAATCTCGAGGTTCTCTAATCTACGGGGCTACAAATGTTTTTTTTTCTGAAAGGTTAAAGTTTCTCAGGATCTCTGTGTGACTTTTTCTGGAGAAGATGCACAAATCTCGGGGGCTACAGGTGTTCATTTTTTTCTAAAAAGGAGAACGAATCTTGAGGTTTCCTTGCGTTTTTTTTTGAGCAGACGAGATAATTTCGGGGGCTCTAAGTGCTATTTTTTTTAAGGTGGAAAAATGTCGGGTTCCTCTAGGGGTTTTTCTAGAAAGCTGAGAGAATGTCGGGGGCTACAAGTGTTATTTTTTCCTAAAAGGCAAACGAATCTCGGATTTCCCTTATTGCTTTTTATGATAAGATGAAATATACTCGGGAGCTACAAGTGTTATTTTTTTTAAGTCGAAAAAATCACGGGGTTCGCTCTGTTTTTTAGATAAACTGAAAGAAACTCGTGGCTATAAGTGATATATTTTTTTTTAACCGACGAATCTCGGAGTCTTCTTCTGATTTTTTTTGAAGAAAATGAAAATATCTCGCGGGCTATAAGTGTTATTTTTTCTAGAAGGCATAAGAATTTCGGAGTTCCCTAGGGTTTTTTTTAGGAAGTTGAAAGAATCTCGGGGTCTTCTACTGTTATTTTTTCTAAAAGGCGAACGAATCTCAAGGTTCCCTTGTAATTTTTTTGGGGGAGAATACGAAAGAATCTAAGGGGCTATAAGTGTTATTTTTTCTTTTGGGGTCTCCTTGCGATTTTTTTTTGAAGAAGATGCAAGAATCTCGGGGGCTACAGATGTTACATTTTTTTAAAAGGCATAAGAATTTCGGAGTTCCCTAAAGTTTTTTTTAGGCAGTTGAACGAATTTCGAGGTTTCAAGTGTTATTTTTTCCTAAAAGGCAAACGAATCTCGGAGTCGCCTTGTTGCGTTTTTCAATAAGATGAAAGAATCTCAGGAGCTATAAGTGTTATTTCTTTCTGAAAGGCTAAAAAATCTCGGGGCTCCCTTGTGATTTTTTGGAGAAGATGAAAAAATCACGGGGGCTATAAGTGTTATTTTTTTCTGAATGGTTAAAGAATCTCGGGGTCTACTTGTGATTTTTTTTTGAGAAGCAGAAAAGAATCTCGAGGCTACAAGTGTTATTTTTTTCTAAAACGCGAACCAATCTCGAAGTCTTGCGATTTTTTTTTTGGAGAAGGTGAAAGTATCTCGGGGGCTATAAGTGTTATTTTTTTATTAAAGGCCAAAGAATTTTGGGGTCTTCTTGTGATTTTTTTTGAAGAAAATGCAAGAATCTCGGGGGCTGCAGGTGTTACATTTTTCTAAAATGCATAAGACTTTCGGAGTTCCCTAAAGTTTTTTTTAGTCAGTTGAACGAATTTCGGGGCTTCAAATGTTATTTTTTCTTAAAAGGCGAACGAATCTCGGAGTCCCCTTGTTGCGCTTTTTAATAAGATGAAAGAATCTCGGGAGCTATAAGTATTATTTCTTTCTGAAAGGCTAAAAATCTCGGGGCCCCTTGTGATTTTTTGGAGAAGATGAAAAAATCACGGGGGCCATAAGTGTTATTTTTTTCTGGAAAGCTAAAAAATCTCAGGAACCCTTGTGATTTTTTTTTTGAGAAGCAGAAAAGAATCTCGGGGCTACAAGTGTTAATCTCGAGGTTCCCTTGTGATTTTTTTATTTTTTGAGAAGTTGCAAGAATCTCGGGGGCTACAAGTGTTACTTTTTTTCTAGAGGGCATAAGAATTTCGGAGTTCTCTAGAGTCTGTTTTAGGAATTTGAAAGAATCTCGTGGCTAAAAGTGTTACTTTTTCTAAAAGCCGAATGAATCTCGAGGTTTCCTTGTGATTTTTTTTGTGGAGAATACGAAAGAATCTAAGGAGCTATAAGTGTTAATTTTTTGTGAAAGGCTCAAGAATCTTGAGGTCTCCGTGTGTTTTTTTTTTTTTTGACAAGATACAAGGATCTGGGGGGCTACAAGTGTTATTTTTTTCTAGAAGGCGAAAGAATCTCAGGATTTCCTTTTTGGAGAAGATGATAGAATCGTGGTGTGCCTTTGTTTTTGTCTTTTCGAGAAGGTGAAAGAATCTGGGGGCTATAAGTGTAATTTTTTTTCTAAAAGGCAAACGAATGTTGATGCGTACAAGTGTTTTTTTTTTTTCTAAAAGGCGAAACAATTTCGGGGTTCTCTTGTAAATTTTTTTGGAGAAACTGAAAGAATCTCGGAGGCTACATGTGTATTTTTTTTTTCTAGAAACCGAAAGAATTTCAGGGTCCTTTTGGGATTTTTTGAGAGAATCTAAAATGCGAATGAACCTTGGAGTCCCTTTAAGATTATTTTTGAAGGAGGATACAAGTGTTATTTTTTTTCTAGAAGGCGAAAGAATCTCAGGGTCCCTTTGTGATTTTTTCTTTTGGAGAAAATGAAAGAATCACGGGCTCTCTTAGCGTTTCTTTCTTTTTTTTTTTAGAAAGCTGAAAAATGTTGAGGGCCTCAAATGTTATTTTTTTCTAAAAGGCGAAAGAATCTCGGATGTTACAAGTGTTATTTTTTTCTAGATGGCCTTGTGATGACCTGACCTGAGATGAGATGACCTGACCTGACCTGACCTGACCTGAGTCTTCATCTCTTTATGTTTATACTAACGGATCTGTTCCTCCACGGTAAGCTTACCATCTCCTGAGCTGGAGATGGGTCATGGGTTCCTTGTGGTAAATACATGGATGCTATTATCAGTTGATCTTCGCCCCAAATTGAAACATTTTCAACATTCATTATAAGATACTAGCAAAATAAATATATTCAAATAACACGTGTTTATTTCGTTGTCCTGAAAAGGCTCTATTTTGACATGTCTATCAAAGACCCGATTACCACCAACACCGTCAACCCGTTTTTAAATTACGCCGAAAATTACAGAGAAACCCATTCCGGAAAACCTCTTTCACACTCACTTACCCACATAAGCCCTGACGTCATAGCTGGTCCCAATGGGCGCACCGTTATACTCCTTCGCCGGTACCAGCTGAACACTCGGTGGTGCCAGCGGCGTGATCTCCATACTAAAAGCATACGCGTTGCTGCCTAGACGTTTCAGTAATGCGTCCTGAAACACGAAAAACTCTACAGTAATTAAGAGTCGACGAGCCTGAAATTCATTAAATTGCAGCCTGCGAAAACAGTTTGTCGCATGAATGAAAATTTGTTCTTTGCTGTACGCCCGTATGCATATTTTAATTGCAACTACTACAATACGAAGTGGTTAATGGAAGCAAAATCGTGCTGATTAGAGTTTTATTGTCGTCGGAATTTGAATGGAACTGCGATTATCTAGGTGCGTTTTAGAGCGAAAAAGTGGCTAATTTGCTTAGGGAGCATTAGCTGAGTTGGCGTTGTTTAAATTTAGATCCATTCAGTGAATCAAGGGGGGAGGGTCTCCCATTTTTCTCGAGTTATTGATTGTAGATTCTGCGAATTCGTTACTCAAGTTTCACAAAAGCAAGGGGCGCATAACTGGAGTGCAGGCAGGGGAGACACACGTGGAGACTTTTCAAACGGGGGACCGGAATTTGTTGACTGTACACGCTAGAAAGCGTCAGAAAGTATCAAATATACTAAGAAGTTAAGTTATTAAAGTCATCCATCACTCGGATAGCGTTAATTAATTTTTTTATCCGAAAACTGTAATCAATATCAGTTATTCTCAAAATAGCTGACTGCTTGTTAAATTTAATTAGGATCTCCATTAGACTTGAATTTTTTGTAAAATCGATTGTGTTACATACAAAAAATTAACTAGTTCAGTACTAATTATAACGCGGGTTCGTCGACATCCAAATAGTGAAACCCTATCATATTTAGTCGCTAATAATCGACGCTTAATTAACACACCCCAAAACAGCAAACTGAACGACGATTTTACTGAAATTGCCACTCAAAGTGATTTTAGCAATTTTTTATTCATTAAAGTTAAAGTGCAGCAGTTTGCCCCACGAAGCAGAAGAACTTTAATTAAAATGTTCCGCTTAATGACTCATTATTATTTTAACCACATGTTCGTTAGTTTTCGCAAAGCACGAAAATGCAACGTTACGAGATATAAAACAGAATTATTTCAAACATGTTCCGTTGTTACGAACATGAATATTATGTTCGTTATTGTAATAACTTGTTAAGCTTACGAGTACTTGCTGCAAATGACGTTTCAGCTGTTTGCCACAAGTTCGCATTCGAGCGAATTCAGTTATACGACGAAGTTAAGCGACTTTGAAATACTCAAGAAATACCGGTCGTTGCATTAGAGAGCAGACGAGAATTTCAATGTAATTAGGTTTTTTGGGACGAAAAGATGCGGGTTTTTGCAGCTTTTGTCTCAAGAAGTAATGTGTATATTAATCTGGGAGATCCCTAGTGAATTTTGAAAGAATCTGCAAGAATCTCTGGAGTTCATGGTATCATATTTTTGAAAGAATTCGAAAGAATCTTCGAAGGGTCTTGGTTTTTTTTGTCTTAGAAAATTCCAAAGAACCTTGCGGATTCCTAACGCATTTTTAAAAGAATTCGAAAGAATGTTGAGGAGTGTTTAATTTTGAAAGAATTTAGAAGAATCTCGGCAGTCCATGGTGTTTTATTTTTGAAAAAATTCAAAAAAACGGTTGGGCTTTATTTTTAAAAGAATCTTGTAGACCAATCGCGGTTTATTTTTCAAAGAATTTGAATCTTCGGGGCTTTTGAAGTTGTATTAAAAAAAAATCGTAAGAATTTTGGGAACTCTTGTTATTTTTCTTAGTGAATTTGAAAGAACTTTTAGACCCCCTAGTGCTTTAATTTTGAAAGAACCTGAGAGAATCTGGGTCGTCGATGGTGTTTTATTTTTGAAAAAAAAAAAAACAAAAAATGGATTGTTTGGAACTTTTAGTGTTTAATTTTTCAAAGCATTTGAAAGAACCTTGGGGGTCTTGGAGTTGTATTCAACAAAAAATCATAAGAATCTTGGGAGCCTTTGATGTTTTTATTTCAATTAATTTGAAAGAACTGGGAGAAAGAATCTCTGAAGTCCATTGTGTTACATTTTTAAAAGAATTTGAAATCATCTTTTGTGTGGGTCTTGGTTTTTGTCTTAGAGAATTCCAAGGAACCTTGCGGATACCTAGCATATTTTTAAAAGAATTCGAAAGAATCCTGAGAAGCTGTGGTGTTTAATTTTGAAAGAATTTAAAAGAATATCGGCAGTCTATGGTGTTTTATTTTTGAAAAAATTCGAAAAAAATGTTAGGTTTTACTTCTGAAAGAATCTCGGGGAGCCCTCGTGTTTTATTTTCAAAGAATTTAAAAACAAATTCGGGGCCTTTGGAATTGTATTAAAAAAATTGAAAGAATCTTGCAAACCCTTGATTTTTTATTCAGTGAATTCGAAAGTACTTGGAGACCTCCTAGTGCTATAATTCTGAAAGAATTTGAAAGAATCTGGGGCGTCGATGGCGTTTAATTTTTGAAAAAATTCGAAAAAATTTTGGGGACTTCGGTCTTTTATTTTTGAAAGAATTCGAAAGAACCTTGGGGGACATGGAGTGGTACTTAACAAAAAAAATCACAAAAATCTTGGGAGCTTTTCATGTTTCTTTTTTCTCAAATAATAATTCGAAAAAACTGGGCGACCCCTAGTGAATTTTGAAAGAATCTGAAAGAACCTCTGGAGTCCATGGTGTTATATTTTTGAAAGAATTCGAAAGAGTCTTTTTTCTCAATGCATTCGAAAGAACTGAGAACTTGAAAGAATCTTAAGAGCTTCTAGTGTTTTGTCTTGAAAGAATCTCTGGAGTCCATGGTATTATATTTTTGAAAGAATCTTGAGGGATCTTGAAGTTTTATTCAAAAAGAATGGAAAAATATTGGGGGCCGTAGATGTTTTTTCTTAATGAGTTCGAAAGAACTTGGAGATCCTTAATGGTTTAATGTTTTTAATGAATTCATTCGAAAAAATTGGGAGACCCCTAGTGAATTTTGATAGAATCTGTAAGAATCTCTGGACTCCATGGTGTTATATTTTTAAAACAATTCGAAAGAATCTTGAAGAGTGTTTAATTTTGAAGGAATTTAGAAGAATCTCGGCTTTCCATAGTGTTTTATTTTTGAAAAAATTCGAAACAAATTTTGTGTTTTATTTTTCAAAGAATTTGAAAATTTTCGGGACCTTTGGAGTGGTATTAAAAATAAATCGAAAGTATCTTGGGAAACCTTAATCTTTTTTCTGAGTGAATTTGGAAGAACTGGGAAACCCCGTAGTGGTTTAATTTTGAAAAAATCTGGGGCATCGTTGGTATTTTATTTTTGAAAAAAATTCGAAAAGTCTTGGGAGCCTTTGATTTTTTTTCTCAATTAATTCGAAAGACCCTTGATGAATTTTGAAAGAATTTGAAAGAATCTCTGGAGTCTATGGTGTTGAATTTTTAAAAGAATTCGAAAAAATCTTGAGGAGCTGTGATGTTTTATTTTTAAAGAATTTAAAGAACCTCGACAGTCCAAGGTATTTTATTTTTTAAAAATTCGAAAAATCTTGCTGGAGTCTTGTTTTTGAAAGAAGAATTTTGGGAGCCTTTGGTGTTTTGCTTTTCAAAAAATCTGAAAGAATCTCGAAAGTTCCTAGTGTTATATTCCCGGAATAAAATTTCCGAAATATTCGGTTTGAAAGTCGAATTAAAAAAAACCCAAAAATTTGTCATATTTCAGTTGGCGATTCTCGAAAAATGAAAAAAAAAATAGATAGTGAAAAGTAGAGATTTTTAAAACACGTGTAATGTTTATTAATGTTCACGTTTTTTTAATTCCCGATTTCACATTCATTCCAACAAATAAAAATCATTCATTGCTCTCTTTACACCGTCCCGACGTGTGTATCACCCACTTTTTAGCCAACATTTTCCGTTTATTCCACATTTCCTCCGCTAAAACACAACCTCGCGTCACTTTTTATGGCCACCAATTCAATTTTTCTCCCGTAAAGCTCATTTAATCTCTCCCTTCGAGAAAACTGTCGAAACTAACAACACAGTCGCCCCATCAAGTAAAAAATTCGATTTACCCTGAAAAAGTCCCAATCGACTTGTTGCTACAAGCTCCTTACACGCCATCATCCCACCCCCTAATCAGCCTCAGCCCTATAATTAAAGTCCACTTCAACCCCGACAATAAAGTTCAAGTCACTCCGTTTTCTACCCTTAGACATCAATTAATCGTTAGAACGCGCCGCTAATCAAAGTAGCGCATCAGTCTAATTAAATCGTTTCGTTCGCACACAGTCCGTTAACCCTTTTGAAGGTGTAACGTAAGTTCTTGCGTTTGTTTTTTCCACCCCTGTTTTCTCAACTTTTATACCCCAATAAAAATAGTTGGGATAGAGTTGTAAGGGCGAAAGTCTGAACGTTTATCCTGCGGTTGTTGGAATCCATCTGTAGGATTGAGGGAAAGATTTAATGGAGGGGTGGAACGTATTGGTGACGTTTCGAGAGGAAGGGGTGGAAGTAATGAGATTTTCTTGTTAATTTAAGATATTAGTCGAGGATCATGTCGCAAGCGGTGCTGAATTATTGCTCGGAAGAGAAATAGCACTTTGTACTAACTTTCCAATTCAACCGAGTTTGCGGGATACAACTTACGTACTTTTTTCTGAACATTACATTAAAAGTTAAACTAGGTTTTGTGTTAAGTAGGAAGCCGAAGCCACAAATTACTGCTAGAAAAATAATCGAGTCTGTTCAACTCTGACCTATAAATGCACATTCATTGTTCAATTTGGCTCGAAACTTACTCAGAACTTGTTTCTTTATCGCCAGACAGATTATAGTATGGAATTAGCGTGAATGTGCAATGGGTTCCCCAACTTTCGAAGTGACCTACAAACTTGTTCAACAAAGGACAATTCAACACCCAGAGGGTAATCAATAAGCTATAATTGACGCCTATTGGCTCGTCATAGTTAACGCACTGATTAGAATCTAGACTTTTAATGATTAATAGAGGGTATAAAAGCCAACTTGTCAAGATTGATGGGAAGATTGACTTTGTTTGTCTCCGGAAGTGTTTACCGTTGTAATTAGATAAAAAGAG